CCTCTCTAGTACCCTTGCGCTTACCTGAAATAATTTAGAAAACATCTTAGATATCAGACATCTATGCTCCTCCTTTCAACAAAATTTAAAACATAACAAAATGATGAAAAAGATCAATCAATTAGCAACGTGATTAATATTACACCCGCTTTAATGCAATAAACAATTAGCAGACAGTACACGATTTATGTATTCCAAAATTAGAAGACATTACCATATCCGGAGTGACGTCCCTTTCTCTTTGCCTCCTTCATTCGACGAGCACGAGATCGAGAATGAATCTTGGTTGGCTTCCTAATGATGAAACCATCCTTGACAAGCTTCCTGATGTTTTGACCTGAATTTTATACAAATAAGATTCAAACACAAGTATATAATACTGTCACAAAATGTATACACACTGCAGTATTGAGAAAATGCAGCAGTTTGTTGGTGCCAAATATAGATTCTAAATCTTTAGCAGGCACTGTACCGGTGAGCAGCCTCACGTAATGGAAAGATGGGTCATGTATCTGGAAAGTAGTAGCATGCCCAACATTTTCTTACATGTTTGAAGTTTCAACTATTGTTTGTGTTGCATAAAAAAAAATCTCTCGTGGCACCAAGGGTATTTAAGACCGTTAACAGGCTTTAAATCAACACCAGCAAGCAAGACCTCCTTTACCATATTTCTAGCAATCTCAGATATAGGATTTTTTAAAAAATAAAAGAACTTCAAATTGCATACAAGGCTGGGTATACAGATTGAATAAAACAGAATTAAAAAGAGCTAATCTCCGCCTTGTTACAGTGTAAGATTGAAATGTTTTAACAATTACCGAGTAGAAAGCCTTATGTAGCTCATAGACAGATTTGAAAACAACGTATCGACCAGCCTATTTTCCGCTATTTACTTCTCCAAATCCTCAACACGGATGATTAAATCTTGCTAAAAGATACAAACAGCACCAGTAACCAACATACACAAGGAATTGAACTGGTTCGCATCTGAATATAAATGAAATGGACTCAACAAAACCTTCTAGAAATGATATATGTGATTAGCTAATAGACAGATACCAAAACAGCATATAGACCAAATTACTTCTCCAAATATTCAAAAAGAAAACAATTCAAATATTGCTGAACGGATGCAAATATAAATTGCACCAAACAATAAACAGCAGTACAAACAACTTATTCAAATTAGAAGCATGAACAAGATCTCAAAAAAATCAATTCAACAAAACCATGTAAAAAGGAAATCGAAAACCAATTATCACATCTATTATATACGTATACATACGCGAATTGGCTCTGGAGAGTTCGTCGACTTCATTAGGGTCAAGCCAGACTTTGCCCTTGCCGCACTTGAGGACGCTGGCGGCAAGCCGCTTCTGTAGCTTCAGCGACACCATCGTCTCCTCTCGATTGAACTGTGCGGAATGAGGTTGAAAACTGAAATGCTGTAAGATTAGGTTTTTATATGTGGGAGATGAATTTGGTCTAGGGTTTATGGTATGGGCCTTTTCCTTATCGGGCCAAGCCCCGGGTTGCTACTATGAAGCAAAGTCTATGGTTATTCTCACTAAACAATTTTAGTACCTTTTTGGTAAATTTTAATTTTTTTAGCATGATAAAGTAAGGGCTGTTATTTTATTGAGGACGATGAACTAAGATCAATCAGTCTACAAGTACAGAAAAAATGTACAGAATTGATACAAAAATTTGAAATCAACAACATAGATTGAAAGTTGGAAAAAAAAACACACACACACACACAAATTCACAGGATGCTCCTGTAATAATTCTGTAATTATTCCCTGTACTCAGGGAATAATTCAACTAAGATTATGTTTGGCTCATATTAATAAATTATTTCTTTGTTTGAATAGAGTACACTTAGTCCCTATTTGGTTTATTTAAAAATTATATTTTTAATAAATTTTTATATAAATTAATGAAATGTGTAATTAAAAAATGATAACAATTATGGATCACATAAAATATGTAGTTAAAAATGAATTTGAGAAAAAATGGATCAAATAGTAGCTTAGCCCGTGTCTGATTTTGGTTTTAGAAAATTTTGATAAAAGTTGATGAAATGTAATTGAAAAATTTATAGAAGCTATGGATTCCATAAAATTTAAGGTAGAAAATTTTTTTTAGCAAAAAATAAAATTTAAAAATTTGGAACTTCCGCTTAATCTATAATATATTAAATATCACATCAAGCGATAATCATTTTTTGGACATTTATAGTCCTACTATAATTCAATTATTTCAATAATATCTTATTTTTCGTTTTTCAATATATATTTAATTTTAGTTACTATTAATGTATATGTACATTTGACAAATTCATTTCACAGATGTACTTTCATTAATGTATGATTTTTCTATTATTAATTCTCAATTAATTAATATCTACTTTCATTTAATTAATATTCATCTTCATTTATGTATTTCAATGTTATTAATTATAATTTCACATTCAATTTCGTTATTCATGTCCATGTATGTTAATTAACATCCAGTTTTACTTAATTGAAAATTAAATAAATGATTTTGGTCCAAATTAATGTCATGCAAAATCAATATAATATAGCTCCGGTTTAATTGCCATTATTTAAGAAATACAATGTTTAAATAGTAATTTTTTATAAAAATGTGTGGTTAAATAGTTGTGAAAAACTTTAGATTTACGTGTAGAGTATTTAATTATGTAAATGCGTGGTTGAAAATGAGTATAGAAAAAAGAGTGTTCAAATAGTGATTGTCAAATGAGGACATAATGTGTCGAGTTTTCGTTCATGAATGATGGCATAAAATTTTCTATATAATTTCCTGCTATGATAGATATTTATTCATAAAATTCATATTTAGATAATATCTCTTCATGAGATCAAATCATATAATTTTTATCGAGGCTTGTGTTACATCGAGAGCACAATAAAAGATTACTTGAAAATATTTATATTCATGTAAAAGAACGCTTCTTCGGGAGATAGCTTAATATTTTTCAAAGAATGTTGAAAGTTGAAATTCATGCTCTTCAACAACAAATAATATTATACAAGAATATTAATAAAACGTCATGTGTCTTTATGAGCAAAAATAAATTATATAAAGATTTAATCTTTGAGAGCAATATTATAATATTCTTATATAAAATTATGATATGAATAAATTTGTGATTATTCAAGAACAGCAATATATTTTTAAAAGAATTTACACGATATTCCTCCAAAATATTGTTTTAATATAGAGTCGTGCTTCTTCGAGAGCAACTGCATAATATTCTTTTGGAAAATTGATAGATATTAAGTTATGATTGTTCACGTACAGTATAATTATATTTTTCTAAAATATTGATATATTTAAATTAACTATAATATTCTTCTAAAATATTAATATGCATAAATTTGTGTGTCTTGAGGAACACAGCATGGTAATCTTCAAGAATGCTACTATGTATTATTTTATGCTTATTTAGGATCAGTAATGTGATATTCTTCTGAAATATTCATATTAAGTAGGTTGTATTTTTTCGAGAATTATAAAATAATATTCGTTTAGAATAAATACAAATTTTAGTTATATTTCTTCACTAGCATCATCATTAAATAATATTATGAATAATCTTACTTTATTTGATATATAATATAATAAAAAAAATATTTAATGAATGAACTTGTATTATTAGGGGAGCAATTAAATTGGAGTACTTTTTAGATTTAATAGATGTAGAAATCTTCAAATAGTCTATAGATCTTAGTAGTTTAACCAAAATTCGTTATTGTTCGTGTAGACATTTTTCACTAAAGAATATTGGATCTTGATTTTAATCGTTGTATTTGAAGAAAAACGATTTATGAGCTTGTCCAAATTTCACAACAATCGAACCATGAAACTTTGAGATATCAACGATTGATCACAATTGTACAGATTGTCCAGGTTCATTCCTGTTGAATATGCTCAACTTTTCCAACACATAATTGCTGATGCCTCAACTTATGAATTCTACTCTTGAATATGCTTATTTCTGTAAAGAAAACTCAAAAAGAATGAGTTTTGAAGTTCTGGCTTACATGTATAACTTTATGCAAATCTAATAATGGTTTTATTTTGTCAAATGGATTATGGTATTTGACAATACTAAGTAAACAAGGAAGTGTCGAATCTTATGATGTCCAGTAGCATGTATCAAACATACATCATTAAGGGTGCGTTTGATTGCAAGGGTGGAAAATTGGTGGAAAGAAAATATTTTGCAGGGAAAAGATTTGCCTAGAAAAT